TTTGAAAAACCACCGAGTGCCTTGAATTTTGTCGCCTATAGTAGATATGTAAAAAGAGTAGAAGATTCGAAAAAGAATAACTAACATACTACATCTTTTAAAAGTATCTGTTAAAATATAACCAGTCCTTATCATATAAGCTGGTATTGAGCTAAGCATTCTCCGTTATCTAACATAAATTATGAGCTGAAAAAAACAGATTAGCATATTTGAAATGTTGTACAATATTGCCTCGTTGTTGATACGTATCAGTGAAATATGTTTAAACATAGAACTTATATTATAACTCAAGCCGGCGAAAATCGGTAAAATGCGGGCGAAAAACTGACGAAGTTTTTTGAAAATCGATTTTCAGAAAGAATTTCCCCCAGAAATGAAATAGTTTGCAAGCACATGTGAGAGAACCTTCACAATAACGAGTGTATAACATTTAACTTTAAAATACGTGTTGAAAATAATGTCTTGAGCATCCTTTTATTTTTTCTGACTGAAAAAGATTAGGATAAAATATTTTTGCATGACTATTGCATTGTATTAACGTCTTATCAATGGTGCATGACCGCTCGCCTATATTCATTTTTTGTATGGTAAATTTACATCGATCAAATTCTGCTTTCAAAACAGCCTCATCATCCGTCTTTATAGTAATCAGTAAAAGCAGTGTTAGCGAAAAATTAGAGACAACTCATGTAATATTACAGGAAAAGAAATCTTTTTTCTCTTTTATTTCTATCACCTTTTCCGACGTCACTGATACACAGTTTTAGTTTGACTGTCATAATATTGTGAGCTGACTCTGCGCTATCTTCGGGAAAGAGTAGAGAGTATAAAAACACAGGAAGTTTGACGTGATTCAGCAGGGGAAAATCATTTCTTCAAAAGTTCAGGGAATGGATTCGCTCTCTTCGTAATTCATTTTTGATATCACTTGTATATAAACAGATGATACGGATGGATTCACTGCAGTTTCAGCCGCTTAACCGGCCGCATACACACGAAGGAAAGAAGACGATAATGCTCAGAAACGAATAGTAACCGCTAATATACAGCATAAATTTGACTCATTTGTGCTAACGAATGAATTACTTTGTCCGAAAACAACAATGCCGATAAAGTTATGTGAAGTAAGCGAGGGAAAAGAAAAATGTTTTGTGAAGACCATAAAATAGTTACATACATTTCATAAAAAGATCCTAATTCATTGAACTAAGTGCTTTTGTTTATTATTTGTTTCAGAAACAACACATACTTTTCTTCCTCCAATGAATAAGAAAAAAAACGCAAGCAACAATCTTAGTGTGTGCGAAAACGAAGTATGTTTTCATTTTTCACTCTCTCTCTCTCTGTTTAAGACGAAAAATATAAAAGAAAAAAACGAAAAAAAAATAAGATCAAACAATTTCATACGCGCAAACACACATCAGCACAAATAAGAAAAAATTGTTTCTGTCTACAAGTAAAAAAAATAATTTTCTTTTTGTATTGTGTATTCATTTTCAAAGACTAGCATGATGGTTATTCGTAATAACAGCTCCATGTTCTCCACGATCATTGTGTGTTGGAATAACACCACCGGAGGGTGTTAATGTTGAATTTGGATGGAGAGGTTGAGGTATAGTAGCAGAAAGAGCAGCGGCTAGTGCATTGCGTTCTTCAACAGATAATATTGCCATACACGTTTGAAATATTGTGGGAATAGTCTGAAAAACAAACAAGATAAATTAGCATCAATTTTGTTGTAAAACTTTTTTCTGATTATTATTTTACGTACTTGTACATGTTTTAAAATAAGTACCATTCTTTGTCCAACAATTGAATTAACTTGAATGGATGATTTCGCAAAACTGTCAGCAAATAATCGAATTACAGCCGGTACATTACAGTTTTCAACACCAACAATAACGGGATTGTTTCTAAGAAGATAAGAAAAACATGCATGCGATCATATACAACTGTAAAAACATGTTAATGCTAGATTTTTTAAAAAACTTCAATCTTGAAAGATGAATAGACTGTTTACGTACAGGTTATGGTTCCTTCTTCTAAACAGCTCAGATTGTTGTTTTTCTTCAACTGACTATTCACTTCTTATGGACACAGGCATTTGTCCGAAGATGAATAGTATCTGACGCAAATTTAGTCATCACAGCTGTTCTGTCGTGTTACCAACACTTTCAATTTTTCATATCTGATTAAAAACACTATTTGGAAAATAAACGCGCATACTTACGATTCAATTAGATCACATAAATAGCCGTACACATGTGGAGTTTCTTCGACATCTTCATGGACTGGTAACCAACTAAACCACACTTGCAATAACTTCAAAATCAAAAAACCATGAATAATGGTGAACAAAGAAGTGATAATTTCGTTTCCGAGTGATCAACATGACATTGATCCTAATGGGAGTGGAACAGTTCCTGTAGTTAGAGCTTTGAATGAAAAGAACTGCTCTCCAGTTCTTTTCAAAACAACAGACATCTCCTAATTTTTGAAAATTTCTTTAGTTTTGAGAGCAAAACTTCAAAATTTCGCTTTTCATTTTCAAAAATAGAAAACATTTGCTTTCGAAACTAAAAGGCCTCTAGCAACAATTGTGAAATGAAAAAGAGTGAGAATCAATCTTTTCCATTTGGTCATCCTATGAGTCATCCTTGTGCTTATATAGAAAGACGATAGTTTCTTTTTGCGTTTTATATATATAAAGAAACGTGACTGTATGTGATGGTCACTTGTCTTTTTTGAACTAGGTGTCTTCTTTTTGAATGAAAGAAGAAACCATCGTTCTTCTATATTAGCACAAGGATGACTCATAAGATGACGAAATGGAAAAGATTGATTCTCATTCTTTTTCATTTCACAATTGTTGCTGGAGGCCTAAAGAAATTTTCAAAATTAGGAAGTAAACACTGAACTGATGATCAATTCCATTTATCAGAGACTGTGAAAAATAGTAATGACCCATCTCTCAGACTACCACTTGACATAACACTATATTAAATCATAGTATGTATGCTTACTTTATTGATGTTTTCAGTTTGTGAGTTATTATATTTAAATATTTTTGTGACAGCCGCTATGGCATTTTCTGTAGCTGTATTATTTTCAGCTGATCGACTATCGGGTTGAGCAATTATTTGAAATAATCGAGGTAAAATATCGGCACAAGCACGTGCATACACTGGACCACCATTCATAGCCATCACACCAAAACCATAACTGGCCGCTTGGCGAATCTAATCAAAGAGTAACAGCAATGA